CTGTGCTTTCAAGAAGGGAACTCCCCAGCCTGTATGTATGCTGTGGATTCCTTCTCCCAAGGTGCAGCACCCTGCATTTGTCTACGTTGAACCCCATCCTATTCTCGTCTGCCCACTTTTGTAGTCTGTCTAAATCTAGTTGCAGCCTCTCTCTCCCTTCAAGCATGCCCACCTCACCCCACATCTTATTGTCATTAGCAAACTTGGACAGCGTGCTTTCCACCCCCTTGTCCAAGTCGCTGATGAAGATGTTAAACAGTGCGGGCCCAAGGACCGAGCCCTGGGGTACCCCACTGCTCACATCTCACCAGGTTGAGTACAACCCAACCCATCCACCACTACTCTCTGGGTACACCCCATCAGCCAATTTTTTACCCATCCAACTGTCTCAGTCACTTAATTTGTTGATGAGGATGGGGTGAGAGACAGTGTCAAATGCCTTCTTAAAGTCTAGAAAGACTACGTCCACTGTGAAACAATCATCCAAGGATTTAGTTACCTGGTCATAAAAGGCAATCAGGTTGGTCTGGCAGGACCTGCCTTTGGTGAACCCATGCTGATTGCCCCTGAGCATGATCTCCCCTGCTGGCCCCCCACAGATGTGCTCCTTGATGATTCTCTCCCAAGATCTTCCCAAGGATCAAGGTGAGGCTTACGGGCCTATAGTTACTTGGGTCCTCCTTCCTCTCTTTCTTAAAAATGGGGACCACATTAGCTAGTTTCCAATCCCCCGGCACCTGGCCAGATGACCACGAATGCTCATACAGCCGGGCCAAGGGCTCTGCGATGACCCCTGCCAGGTCCCTCAACACCCTTGGGTGGAGGGCATCTGGACCTGCAGATATAAAAATGTCTAGCCCTTCCAGAAGATCCCAAACTACATCTGCGCTGACCCAAGGCCTGACAGAGCTATCCCCGAGATTGTCCCTGCCTCTGGTAAGGGATGTCCCATTCCCTGTTCAGGAAAACAGAGGCAAAGAAACTGTTAAAAATATCAACTTTCTCATCTGGCATAGCCACAAGGTTACCATTTGAGTCTTGCAGGGGCCCTACATTCCTGGTGCCCTCTTCTTGCTCCCAATGTACTTGAAAAAGGAATTTTTGTTCAGGCTACTGAACCTGAAAGTTGAATTGGGAGTGGAAATACTATGACCACAATGGTGGCAGGGGAAGTACCCTGAGCAAGGTAATACAATTAAAATGGCACTGTATAGTGGAGGGCTGTACCCTTGTCTGCTTGCAGACAGGACTCCCTATGAGCCTCATAGTTAGCTTCTCACTGACCAGCCTCCAGTGGAAAGATCTCAGCCACACACCAACTTTATGGAAATGGGAGACTGACTCCCTAGCTTGTACCTGTGGCCATACAGCTGAAACTCAAGGGCATCTGAACCCCAAGCTTCTGGTCTTGGGCCTACATGTAGGATGCCTGCCAAAGGATTTGGAAGCATCTGAAGCCCCAGGCAGGGGTGAAGAATGCTTGCCAGTAGTAGGGCCACATTTGGTTCTTGAACAGCTCATGGATTTGGAATTGATTTGGCTGATTTGACTTGGAACATGACAAATTTTCCTTACTTAAAAAAAAAAAGTTGAATTGGGAGCTGGAAAACGTGATGGGGCGCTCCCCTCTTCTTCACTGGAGGAACAAACTGAAGCTATGCGAAGGGAAAGCCTAAGGCACAGGGAGAGAGAGTCTGTTTCAGGACTTGAGACCTCTGTTCTCTCCCTCTTCTTTCCTCTTTTGTCCTTTCTGGGTTTTGAGTGGGATGATGCTGCGGTGGTATCAATCCCTGCAGCAAACTAGCCAAGGTTGAAGCCTGGCAGTTTTGCTGGCACGCTGTGGGCCAGGGCTGAGAGCCTGTCATATTTTAGTTGCTGTTGCAACTTCTTTTGGGTTCAGTATAGCTGTGTCGCTGAACCCCAGCTGCGTGTCTTGCTAAAAGTTTTGGCCATGCAGGCCTTGAGTAGGGTGGTAGCATGAGTGTATTATTCCCTAGTGCAGACTGACCAGGAACAGGGTCCCGGCAGCCACTGGCCCCTGTGTTGGGGATTGTGGTGTCTCAGCATGGTGGTACAGCTGAGACTGGATGTCCAGGCTGCAGCCATAAGTCTGGGCCCTTTTTGCTGTTCACAGCTGTTACATTTCAGCCCATCTGTTGGGGCTGAACCCCAGCCGTATGTTCAGCTGATAGATTTGGGCCAGGGTGAAGCCCTGGTACTTCTTGTTGTTTATCAGTGCTGTATAGGCCTGGCTGGCTTTTTGCCACCTAGTCCAGGCCCAGCAAAACAGGCCCAGCAAAAAAGGCCTGGGCCTCCTTTTGTCCCTTTTGAAGTTTATGCCCAACCAAGCAGTATAGTTGGGCACTAGCTGTAGTTCAGACCCAAGCCAAGATAGGCCTAGCCCCCTCCTTTTGCAGTTTCATAGCTGTCAGGTCTCAGCATAGCAGTGTAGCTGAGACTAGATGTCCAGGCCGCAGCCAGATAGGCCTGGCGCTTTTTTCTTGTATGTTCAGACCCTGGTGCAGGACAGGCCTGAGTCTCCCTTTTATTGTTTTACAGCTGTTGTGTCTCAGCATAGCTGTATTGCTGAGCCTCGCTGTATGTTTGCTGCATGTCTGGGCCTGGCTTGGGGCCTGGCACATGTTGTTGCTTTTGTAGCTCTATGTCTTGACCAAGTGGCGTGGTTGGCACTGGTTGCCATTCAGGCTCCCTTGCTGTTTGGCTGGCTTTCCTTTGAGTTCTCTTGCAGTTTCCTGCTCCAGCAGAGCTGGGATTAGGACTAGAAACATTGGGGTACAGTGTGCTAACTGCAGCTAACCCCTCAAAGCCACCACATGGAAGTAGAGATTAGCATTACAGCTTTGCAAGAAACAACAAGGGGCCCTTTGCAATGCAGAAGGACCTACACTCTCCAGCAGCTCCCTCAGGCACAGTGGACCCATGTAGCAGCTCATAGGACTCTCTGGGGTGGACCCCCCGCTCTGGCCCATTGCTGAAGGGCAGGTATAGGGGTGCAGATCCCCAGAACTACACTCTGGGATCCCCAAGTCCCAGACTGCCTGGGTATGGGTAAAGCCTCCCCAAGATGGTGCCACCTATAGACTTGGTTTTGTAAGTTATAGTGTTTTAAACTTATAGTTAATGTTTACTTGGG